GTGAAGTACATCTACATCTCAAGCTGGCCATGTGAAGTACATCTACATCTCAAGCTGGCCATGTGAAGTACATCTACATCTCAAGCTGGCCATGTGAAGTACATCTACATCTCAAGCTGGCCATGTGAAGTACTTGCGGAACCTAGACTGAACTACCTGAACTATGACAAAAACACAGAGGCCACCGAAATCCAGCAGGGATTTTAGTAATATAAGCCTGTGGAAACAGTAGCTCTTTCATAGGCAAACTGTTACTTTGGCAAATACCCCATCAAGACACCATTAACTGGTACAACAAAGAACACTAACTACCCCAAGGATGAAACTAATTTTAAAATTTCCAATATTAACTACCCCAGAAAATATTTCTAGCTATACATTTGAGTAAATTACTAACCCTGCAACCCCATGTGGAAGCTCTCTGTGTCTGTGCAGATGCAGTAGGCTCGTGTGTTGAGCGCCGCCCTAGTGGACACTGACCTGCAGGTGCAGTACAGCAAATGAGAGTCTGCATGCAACTTGCGGGCCAGCTCCAGCTGGTGATTGTCCATCAGCCGGTCGTTGACCACCACAAGAAGGGGCCGTCCAGCTCCCAGGGCCTCCAGACAGCTTCCTGCTCCTGGAAGAAGTAGGAAGCCATTACACAAATCTAAAGCAAAGTTCGATCCCCGTCAATAATCTGCCCTTTCATCTGCTGAACTAGCCATGTATGAGACGACAATGATTCATCAGTTCCTCTCATGACAACCCTAAAAATGTCCATTGGTCACATACTATAAAATATGGCAGCCACCATTTTATGCAGGAAATAAAAAAATCAAATTTTGCAACCCAGTGTTCACTACACTAAGAGTAGTCCTATATCTGATGCACAAAAGCGTACACATACAAAAACTCTTACAAATATTACTGATTGATTGATTGCATACGCACTTTAAGATGATTATTTTCCTTGAGCTCACCTGCATGGCTGATAACCAAATCGGCCCGCTGAATATCGCCTGCAATGGAGTCCTTGAACCGGAAAGCCTGGAGGGTCAGCCCGGGACAGCTGTCTGGACCGGGCAGAATGGAACCGCGCCCCACCTGCAGCACCAGCTCCTCATAACCGCGGGCTACTAAAGCCTTAGGAGGGCCGTCAGGAAGGGAACATTACATCGGAGTAAAGCAATGCGTCACGTTAATCTAAACATCTCCACAGTTACCACGGTATTTAGAGTATAAATGGAAGTCTGAAAAGTGACATTATAGCCGCGTGGCATTCTGAAGAACCTCTCAACATGCCGATTAGATGATTGTTGTCAGCATCTTAACTAACACACTCGTGTTTTCGGACCAGAACCAGGCAGCCGGATTATCCAGGCGGTACCTGAACAGCGTCCTGCGAAATCACACTGGCTATCAGGTCATCGAAACTCGTCGTCCCCACAGTAACGAACACAGTCTTCATAGCAGTCGTGTGTTGTCAGTATATGGAAAACGTATGGTTGTAATAAAGAGTGTAGAGGTACAAATTCATTGATTTTAGTCGCCGACTGCATTCTTCTTCTGGATAGTTCCATTGAGTTAAAAGTGTTTAAGTGAAGTATCGCCACCTATGGGGCGGGAGGTAAAACCACCTCTAGCGTCTTGTGATTTGACTAGTGATGTGCGTCAGTATCAAGCGGAACAGTCATTGCAAGTTTTACTTAAAACAATATAAAACAGACAGTGAATGTTGTGTGTGACTGATATAAGTGCAATAACAAATCCATACATTTTCTATTGGATTTGTCAGGGGCGGAGAGGTTCATGATGTGAGCCTATGAAAATGTCACTATGTCTTAATTCACACTACTTTGGCTTTTTCAAAACTAAGAACTAAATTGTGTTCTACATGTGTTTGTCACAGCTGCAGAGAACGTGTGGTCTGTAGGAAATCGGTGCAATATCATCATGCGGTAAACTTGGCTTTTAATACGCTCAGTAAACGCTTCATCCAGCCGCAACACGGAAAACGCTGCTCTCTGGTGGCAGCAATGAATGAGACGGGATGGAAGAGATGGGATGCATTGCGCAATTCAAATCACGCCAATAATGCATTAGTTGCATCTGTCTTGTGGCTCTAGTTTGAAGATGTAGAACGGACCAGGGGCGCTGCTAAGGATTTTGGGCCCCATGAAAAGAATCTTGACAGGGCCCCCAACACAGCTGAGACTTTTTTCTCTGGGCCCCCTCTCAGTCATGGGCCCCGAGAATCGTCATCGTTTACCCCCCCTTTACAGCGCCCCTGGAACGGACTATACATAATTCTCTGGGGGGATGGGGATGTTTGGATGTAAGACATCAAAAAGCCTGTATTCAAAATAATCATATTTACGATTAGAAAAAAATCTGATTAGTTGGAATTTTTGGATTTGTTGTTCTTAACAATCTAGAACATGAATAAAATAAACAAAAACATATAGATTCATAAATCATTTTGTTAGTAACTTCATTGATAGCTGTCAGAAACGATCTGGCATATAATATATTTAAACGGCAAAAATAATTAACTAGAACTATCTATTCGCCAAACACAACTTTGGAACAGACCAATTCAAACTGATTTGCAACATGGTCAGTTGTAATTTCAGTAAAGGTTAATCATGAGTTCATTACCAGAAACGTATCATACAGATGACACGACAGAATCACCAGATCCTCGATGATATTTCCGCCTCCATGGCTTAATAAGCGATCGTATAGCAGCCCATGTAGAAGGACGCGACGCCCACCTGGGTATTTCAGCCGTGCATTAGTTTTGTATCCGTTTTCGGTAAAACACAGAATGGAAAATTGCACTACCCCGGCTTATTAAGCTGAGAGCAGTGCCCGTTAGTACGCAAAACGTAACGCATTTCATTCAAATTATATTGTGCTTGGACTGTGATGTGCTTTGGCATGTCTATGGAGACTCCTTACATGGATTTTAGGGTTATTATGATTTAAAATTGTTGATGTGCGTATAGGTTTTTTAAAAACGCGTCTTTGGCAAATGTTTCCTATTATTTAATTCACGTCTACTCTGAGCACTTCTGCATTTTATATATCTTGATGTAGGCTATAAGAAGAGATATCCTAATGTTTCTGGTACTCGTTTCTGCACCAGCATGTGGCTAAAACACGGGAGATGTTATTGATCCCAGTTGCGTTTCCTCTGTTAATGACTCAGACCAGAGTTCTCATCTGTCTCAACCACTCCTTCATGAGATGAAAAAAAAATGGGACAGCGCAATATTCTATTATTCTTTGAGAGAAAGGAATATGGGAATCTGAACAGAGGATGTCCTTCAATATAATAAAACCCCGGGCCAATATCATAAATTGTTCAGTGTAACCAATATGACAGCAGGACCCAAAACAAATATTCTCAGTAATTATACTTAAGTCTTTATACTAGGGGGAAGGGTGGACCTATCATAAGTATAATTAAGGGAAGGTAGCTGACTAGGGGCCCCAAAAACTAGGGGCCCATAAAGACAGAATTTGGATATAAGATAGTATAATAATTTAAATTATAGAAACATGTCTGTTATTTGCAATTTTACTGACAGTTTTTAGGATAGACAAAGTTGCCCTCCTGCCCAGGATGTAACAGATTGTCCGTACTTTGAGACTTCCTGTTACAAAATCTTCATTTCAGACTGGAGTCTATTGCTAGTGGTTGTTTCACTGCCACACGAACAGGCATAAAATAGCCTAACAAGACGAAAACAATGCAAAGATTAACATTACATCTCCCCTGTCTTTGATACTGTCCCACTAGAGTGGTAGGCAAATTTTGAACAGACATGGAGAGAAGACGATTAATCGAACACATACAAACATTTAGGACTAATCTTAGGAGTAAGGAATAGGTTGTCCTAGGCTACAGTCTAGAGTCATGGGAAAGGAAGGAGCAGTTAAACTTCTTAAATTTGGCCAAGCAGTTGGCCAGCAGGATACTCCTCTCTCCCAGATTGACGAATTTTACTGACAGCACTCCTGATCAGTATGTTTGATCGCTGGCACCCCACGTTTTTGTTAGCCTGTTAGCAGGGTTGCCGACCTTGGTCAGCTGGTTGGAGTGAGATTTTCAATTCGAGACAAGTCTGCACCCAAATTTCCGTATATGTAAGAGTTTTATTGCCTTGTAAATAGTCTGTAGGGTTCGCAAAATGTCATGCCCTGTTCGTCCGATCCTCCCGTGTGCCACGCCTCCCTCATTACCTCGTGTGGAATCCCCATGTTACCAGCTGTTTCTCATTGTTGTCAATTAGTCTGATGTATTTAAGTCCGCATTTGAGTATGTTTCCCCAGTCTGGTCATTAACATCATAACGTCAGTGCATTGTTTTTGCCTGTTCTCTGTCTTGCTTGTCTTCGCCCTGAATTGAACCCAATGTTTCCGCGATTCTAGGAGTCCTACCTCCGCTTCCTCAGTCCGTGCCCCGTGCAAACAATGACAGCAAAGTGTCCAAATGATTTTGGTGTAGCTAAATTGAGGTTCATAACAGAACAATATAGATTTGCCGTGAGTGTCTAAAGGTGTGAGTGTCATGCTAGATGTGTAAGAGTTGGCAATGGTATTATTTATGTTCCATCATTTTTTCAGCTCCAAAAATAGCTGAAATGGCCACCGTATGCGGGCACTACTCATGTCAGTCTAGAGCCCCCAGAGAAGTTAGTCTGCCCCTGACTAGGGGAGACTGGGGACAGTTTTTGAATGGGGTCAGTTGTTGAGCCGGCATTTAACCCACCTAAGAAACATCAGCTAATCAATGTGAATTTCTCTCTCTCTCTCTCTCTCTCTCTCTCTCTCACACACACACACACACACGTTTTTAATTATATCTTTGTGGGGACTCTCCATTCATTTCTACAGGGGAAACTCTTATCCCAACATGATGACCCTACCCTACCCAGCCAGTAACCAAACAAAATACAAGACTTTTGGCAATTTTAGCTTTTTGATTGCTTTCACAGATCTTTGTAGGGACCTGAAAAGTAGTCCCCACAGCGTCAAAATAACAGGTTTTTTCATCACGTTGTGGGGGTCATTTGGTCCCCACAACGTAATGTAAACATCATCCACACACAGACACAATAACCCCCATCACATTTAATGCCCAAGGGCACAATTTTTTATTGTAAGTGTGTTAAGGTCCATTCCACAACTGACTCCATTCAACAATTGTCCCCAGTCCCTCCTACATATGACCATGTTGGATGGGCAGCACATGCATTTGAGCCTTTTTAGGCTTTTTTGAGTGTGGCATAGTATTATGTTCCCTAATTATAATTTCACCATATCTGGGCAGAGTTTTTCCATTCTTTCTGCTTGACATGAAAGAGACATATTGGCTGCAATTAGACACGTATGAGATAAATGAGTGGGGACCAACCACACAACTACATGGGAAGCACGGCTTCCCAAATTGTCAAAACCAGTCCATGTATCAATGTAAATTCTTTTTCATTTGCAATTAAAAGAGTAGTCAATCTTACTAGCGCTGCGCTGATCGTTTCTTGGGAATTGCTTTCAACAACATATACTTTCATTTTCTCTTTGAGACCAGGATAAATATAGCCCATAGATACCCATTGACACCGTGCTTCACTGGAAGTCTTTGGATGATGCAGAGGGTGCAGTGGACCTAGCCTTTGTAGGCTGCATTCTTCTAAAAATCGGTGCATTGAATCTTGTGATAGTTTTAGCTGCGAAGGATCCATCGGCTGGCCCAAGAAAAGAAGGATGCATTTCTAGGCCAATTTCGAAGGAGCCTTTGAAATCGGACAGCCTTGTTGCGTCACTGTGACTTTTTCGGTCCTTTAATGCTGCCTTAGAAGGCTCCAGCCCCTAAAATGGGTCACAGCCCATGAGAGCGTCATACATAGCATTTGTTTAGGCAACACTGATTGGACAGATAGTCAAATATTTCAAACCAACCTGTAAGCCATGCTTCTCTGCATGGTGATTTGGAGATGTCTCAACAAGACAGGATAGACTACCAGTAACATAATAGCTCATGACTGACAGGTGGGTGGTGCGGTGGGTTACACTGTTGCATCACACTTCTGGAATTCAGTTTTGAGTCTCTGTCGTGGCTTGTGTGGGGTTTGTATGTTCTCCCTGTGTGGTTGAGGGATTCCCGCCCAAAAACCAGAAATGCCGTAAGGTGAATTGTAGTTACCAAACTATCCATAGTTGTGTATGGTGTGTGTGCCCTGCGATGGGTTGGCGTCCCATCCTGGGTTGTTCCCTGTCTTGTGCCTGTAGCTTCCAGGATAGGCTCCAGACCCCCTGTGACCCTGAATAGGACAAATGGGTACAGAAGATGGATGGATGGACAGTTTTTGCATGCTGTCAGCAGTGTTAAATCAGTATTCGTTCATTTTGTCGCATTCAGGGACACAGAAGCGTTTTATGCAACCCAGAATGACAGATTATAATTTTTCTATCACCTTTCACCATTGGCATTTGTAAATACTGTAAATATAGTTAAGTTTTGAGTTTAACTTTGGTGTGATTTTTAGATGAGTTTGGTAGTTAGCTAGCTAACTAAGCTGCGTGTTAGTTCAAGCTGAGCTAGTAGCTTTGAAGAAACCTGGCAGACACTGCAGCTGATGTTGACTTCATTCAAAAGATGTCCTGCGACGGAGAGCACAATTTACATAAGCAGCCGACCAACTAGAATAATTAAAAACAAAAACAACCTTTTTTGGTCATATTGTCAGCTATCGACACTGTGCTTCCCGCATTATAAAAATCTCCTTCCGCTACTGGTGGGGATCCTGGTTCTCACGTTAACGTGAGCAGATGCTTTGCTCCATTCACTGGATGCCAAATAAACTTGTCAAGCGTGACATGAAGATTCGGCGAGAGTGTTACATGAAACCTAATGACGCATGGAATATTCAAGTCTATACTGGAAATCCATCCAGAGGCTCGTCAGAAGCAGGGGTGGCAGCTCTCGCTGGATTCAAGCAAGGGCTTGCAAGCTCGTCACATGCTGTCAGTTTGGAGCTGAGCTGAATAAGAGGAAGTTACTGGGAACAGAAAGGGGAAAGAAGCCAAATTTCCTCAATTCCCTGTAAAAACTAGTGTTGTTGTTATAGTCCCCCAAGGGAGAAAAAAGAACAGGAACATTCATAATATAAGCATAAGACAAAGACATCTCTGAGCAGATGACAGGATCAGGATACTGCAGTTACTCTTAAGCAGTGGTTCCCAATCCTGTTCCGGGTGCCCCTCGCCTGCCGGAATGTTTTCATTCCAACCCTCCATAAATCAGGCTTAGTCCTTAATAGGCTAATAATGAATGTGGCAGGTTGAAAGCACTGTGGGTTGGAATGAAAAAATCTTGGTGGGGGGGCAGAAACAGGATTGAGAACTACTGCTCTTAAGCAGGTAGTGAAAACGTGTAACAATGTGATGCCGACACATCATTGGTCGTTAGCCTCTGGTGAGTTTCCTCCAGGCCGTCGGTGTGTCTGTAAAGAACGCTTCGGGGAGAGGACTGACATGGGGCCCCAGCAAGGCCAGTCAGGCCCCAGATCTCCACAGTATGGAACCACCACAGTTGTCTCCACAGTATGGAAAGTTCAGGCAGAGGAGCCCGAGCGCTTGTTCAGGTCAACCCCACTGGGTACAGGTGCAGCCAGTCGCATGAATTCACAGTGAATAGTAATCAAATACAAAGGAAACAGAACTACTCGTTCCCACTTTTCGAGATGCTTCCTGTATGCAACAGTGGAATACAGACACAACATCTGGGTCCCTCACAGCAGGCCTGATCTCAGGTTAGGATCTTGGTGGCAAAGATGATTCCTCCCCCCTCCCACTGCCTCTTGCCCATTTGCGCCACAGGAAATGGAAATTATCATGCACCCACAGCTGCTTTGACCAACCCAGAGTATTTTGAGGGCAAATAAAGTACTCCTGTGATTAAAAAAAAAATGTTATTGCTGCTCAGCTGTCACGTTTACGTTGCTAAATAACACTTTCAAAAATTTCTGTCCCCTCCCACCCCCAGAGAGAGAGAGAGAGCAGCCGGGTGGTGACTGGGGCAAGGCTGCACCTAACAAGTTAAGGCTCATGGGAAAAGCAAGTTTCAGCCAAGCAATCGCGCTTCACCTGTGGCACGTCACATACAAAATACATACACATGCAAACCACCTGCAGGCCGTACAATGCCGGCATGCAGAATAAGTTTGCAAGTTCCCCGCGTGACGTTGTAGAACACCCCCTGCGCACGGATATGCCCCTCCCCCCACCAAATCCAAAAACTTGCCAAAGTGAATTGGACTTGCCAACAGATTTAAAATCAGACAAAAGACTTATTGCTTGAGGTTGAATACATTCTTTAAAATCAATGCCATTGTAGTCAATGCCAAAACCAAAGATAACAGAAAATTTAAGGGCAATAAGTAATTAAAGTTTTAATAAATACATTAAAATGAAAGCCAACAAGCGTAGAAAGTAAACAAAGATGAATAGCATATTACATAAGGGATCGCTTCTGCGTAATAGTCCTTGTCGATGACACCGAAATCAAACCACATGATAAAACGCAAAGCAGATAATACAGCAATCAAGCACTTTCAGAAATGAGCAGAGTTTGGACCAGACCACACCTCCTATCTCCTCCATTTTGGAAAAAAAAGCCCATCCTTCAATCTCTCCTCTGTTACCATAACAGCACATTCTCTTCTTCAGAGCTTCAGTCTGTGGAAATGTGTCCAGAAAGAGATCTGGGGGACCAAGGGTCACAGATACCCGCATCTGCTCATGAGGATGGACCTAGGTGCACCCCTCCCAGATGCACACGCCGCGAAGGGGGGCTTCGTGTCCTTGGTCCAGCGGAGGCCCATCATTTTTGAGAGCAGAGTATGGAAAGAGGAGGGCCCTTCCAGGCAGCGGTTCTAAAGCCAGGAAAGGGGACCTGGGCGGAGGGGGGGGGGGCAGTCAAACCTCAGAGGCAAAACAGACACGCAGACACACACACACACGCCTCTGCCACAAACACCCTGTGGTTAACACCTCAAAGGGATTCACTATCCGCTTTTTTACGCCGCGGAACGAAGCGCGCCGCTTTCTATAATCGATGCCCACCCGCCCCCTCACGGCTGAACAGACGACGATTTCCATTTCACAAGGTTACTATGGATGTTTCTTGGGCATCACAGCCGTTCGGTTCTTGTCCGCGAGTCCTGCAGCGTTTTTTGTGCCCAAACACAAATAAAAACAGGAAGTAACCTGAATCGAAGCCATCTCTGCTTCCTTAATGGTGCTAGGAGAACCTGAATACCTGTTAAATGACTGTTCCAACAAGACCAGAACCAGCCCCCATCTCCCTCAAATTATAAACAGCTGTTTTAGGTAGAAAATTTTATGAGCATTGATTCAACCTCCTAGGTCCTCAGATGTTTTGATTGTTGCAACAGCGTAGTCCTATTGCTCATAGCGTGTTCACAGCGAAAACGCAGCTGGAAAAAAGCGAAGGAGGTGTGAAGATAGTCGACGTGGATGACAAGAGCATGTATCTACACAATAACTAAAAAAGGTCTGAGACAGGAAGTCTCAAAACAAAACAGGAAGGCGGCCGAACGTGACAGCATGTGGCTTTCAGCCCAGCAGACAGGGAGGAAACGACCCCCAGGAACAGCTTGTTGTTGGGGGGAGGGGAGGGGAGGGGGGGGGGGAAGGGGCTTTCTTTACTTTGCATTAAAATAAAACCACTGTTGCCTGCCTGGAGACCACGTCCCTAAGCCAGGAGGTCTCATAAGATGCATCGAACCCTCGTTCTCAAAGATTGCATGTGTGAGCAATGTCTTCCAGGCCAGGTGATGGGAGCTACTGAAAACAGCACTGGGGGGCAGACAGTGGAGGATTGGGGGGGGGGGGGGTCCATCCCATGCTGAAGACTCTTTCTCAGCAGCTTCCTGTTTTGGAACGCCGGCTCCCACTCAGGATGTCGCATTTTCCTTCTCCTCCTTCCCCGGGTATTCCCCACTCTCTGGCATCTCACGCCATGTTCCCTGGGCACCGACGGCGACACGCCGATGCATGGGCGTCCCTGACACTACCGCCCGTCCACCTGACAGGTCTATATACCCACAGACAAAGCAGAGACTTAAAAAGAAAAAATACAGGTTAAAATGTCATTCGCTACTTCAGGCTGACTGAAAAGAGCACATTCAAAGGTTTGGACACCATAAAATCACAAATGTTAAATTTTCTCTGTATTCTGGCGGCATCCAGGTGTGACCGGGCGAGGGTCCTGTCCAAGGTGTGAGCGAGGCTTCCAGTTCAAGTTCGGGCTGTGGAGCCCATATATCTGACAAGCTGGGCCAAAGCTGGCGATATTGATGGTCGCCGCCTCTCACCGTCAGGGCGGGGCTCTCACTGCACCACGCAGGCTGTACAGCACTGGTCCTGCTTCTCGGGAAGCGTGGCGTAGTTCATCTGCCTGACGATCTCGGCGAACAGCTCGTCCACCATGGTCTTGCTCTTGGCCGACGTCTCGATGAAGGGGCAGCCCCATTCTTGGGCAAGGTGCCGCCCGTCTGCCCCTGCCACCTCCCTCTCCGCCTCCAGGTCCACCTTGTTGCCCACCAGGATCAGCGGCACCTTCTCGAAGCGCTTCACGCGGACGATCTGGTCCCGCATAGGTCTGATGTCCTGGTTGGAGGAGAAGGGGTTATTATAAAGACATTAAATCATAGACAACACAGTCTATAGTACCTCAGGATAGTAATGCATGCGCAGACTGCTATAATATACAGGGTAACACACTGAATATTGACACAGCACAGATGACAGGGACGACCTGGTTGAAGCTAAGTGTATATCGCCTCGGCACTTTGCACCAGAAGCCACTTGGGGCGGCTTCGGCCCTCACCACACTGGGCGACAGGTTTCAGAGCCATCCTCCCCCACCCCCCATACGGTTTGCATTCATGGCAGCTAACTTCTCCCTCGCACAATGCAAACGTCCGGTGCTTCCGTTACATAAAACACATGCTCGTTTTATGCCACCACAGACAATGGGACCGTGACATTTAAAAACGCGTCTGATTTTCCAGAGTGGCACAATTCGTCTTTAAAATCAGGATGCTAGCAAGCGACATATTTACGTGCAGAGAGCCGCAGTTGCGCTGCATTTACACCGCATATAGAAGCTTATTTCAAAGTGGCGCCGCACAGGATGCGTCCGTGGCACGTCGCCGTGCAATTAAAGACGCTGCGAAATCAGTATAAAAATTCTAATAAAACAATTTACCTGGAATGACTGCTGGTTGACAAGACTGTAGACCAGAATGAAGCCCTGTCCGTTTTTAATGTACAGATCCCTCATCGAGGCGAACTGCTCCGTCCCTGCGGTGTCGAGAATTTCCAGCACGGAGGGCGACGAGTCCACCTCGATCTCCTTCCTGTAGAAATCCTCGATGGTCGGGTCGTATTTTTCAATAAAAGTGCCCGTAACGAACTGCACGGTCAGCGCGGACTTGCCGACGCCGCCGCTGCCGAGGACGACCACTTTGTACTCCTTCATTGGGCTGTTAGGGGCTCCGGCGGGTAGGTCAGTCAGCTGGCCGCTTCCGATCACAACGACGAAAAAGAAGATTAAAAAAACTTAACCATAGTGAGCACCCGATGGCCCCGGGAGAAAACTACCCACCCCGAAAAACAACTTGACTCGAGTGCCCGTATCTGTGAAGAGACGCTCGGACGCCAAGCCGCATCCGAAAAGAAACAATTTTAAAGAAAGACCCCCAAAGTCTTGAAATTGACCGCAAATCGCACGACCCCGCGCTCCATGTTCGTTCCAGACGCCCTACTGCACGACACCAGTCTGCAGCCGCAGCATGCACATGCCTGGACAAGCACCGAGAGGCTGGGGCTGGCGGGCAGCGAAAGGCACGGGGCGCCGCCGGCTCAGCGCTCGGCGTCCGGTCTGCACACTGGCACTAGACGTCGCCTGCTCCGGGCTTTTCAGCATCATATGCACGGAGTGACCGTGTAAGCCGTAGCACTTAGATTAACTGCATCTAGCCGGTATAGCGAAACGCCATCGGACGTGGCTAGAGGGAGACGTGCGCTCCTCTCCCTGCCGGCTGTGCCATCCCCAAGACACCTCCCTTTTCCTGGCTTACTTAGAGAAGGTGCCTGTCTGTGCTCTTAACGTCAGCTGTGATTTGATCCTCAGTCCTTTATCATTACGGCAGATCCCCGATAACGCTGACACTGTAACAGCCCTCAGATTATCCTCACCCTCTTTTTTTTTTTTTTTTTTTTTTTAATTCTTGAGCCTCCGTCTTACTATCCGAGATACCAAGGCGCTCGCCTGCAATCACAGCGGCGTAGAAGCAAAACACCGTCACGTCAATTAGCCCAAGTCCGAACAATAAAAGGAGGATTATGTTACACTCTTGCTCTCAATACCCTAGTGCAACACCCCAGCCGGCTCCATATTAATCAGAACGAAATTCTCGTCTTTTCTTCGTGTATACTGAGTACAAATGCAGCCCGAAAAGAAGGCCACGAGACCGCGGCAGCTCTCTGGTTTGATTGGCGGAAACACCGAGATTTCGGGCTCGTCATCGGGTTTGGGGCGGGGCTTGAGGACACGTAGGAAACTGCCCTCGTGCCTAGGTGCGGTATTCTTGGTGTGTTATGTCTGCGGAAGTCTGCTTGGCGTTTCTTATTTTTTCTCTTTCCTAAAGAGATACAATACGAAGCCATCACAAATACAGCACGATTCGATCTACGGGAAAACATTTTGGTGCAACAATTATTATTAACATGTCATTCAAATGATGACAGCAAACCACCAGAACTCATTATCCAAAGAAATTTGAGCTCTAACTAGTTACAATATTCGTGCGCAACATATTTAGTTCCCAGTTGTCGCAGTGCCCCGAATCCCAGACCTATAAAATAATTATGTTTAATAGTAATTCCTGTGACACCAAGGTTTACCTCAGATTTTGTCATCAACGCTACCTTTAGCCACCAGTCGGCGCTAAAGTAAATTACATTTAAGTGCTTTGCGTTAGCATATCAGTGACTGACGCATGTTTTACTGCCAACTCTCATGCGTCTGGCGTGACACTCACGCTTTCAGACTATCAAGCTCACGCGGGAAATCTTATTATATATTGTAATCTATAATATCCTATTATAAACCTATAATTAGCTATATCAAAAGCTTTGAGGTGGTTTGCAAACCCTACAAACTATTTACAAGGTAATAAAACAGATACATACATGTAAATGCGTGTGTATTTGTGTGCAGGCTGGTATGGAATTGAAAATGTCATTCCAGCCAGCTGAGCAAAGTTGGCAACCCTGACTTACAGATATTGAACAACGACGTAAAGTTTAAGTTTTGTCAGACTTTCTGGGTGCAGTCATAATCGCACCGCTGAATGTAACATGCTGGAGATACCACTACGAAGCCCTCGGCAGAAAAGAAAGGATTCACTGTATACAGACAATCTCAGGATAGCTGATGTCATTGGTGTATTGACTCACGCAAGCTCGCTGATCGGACGCACTCATTAGCCGTTTAATGGGCTGAGAGGACCCAGGAAATGCAAAGAAATTCATCCTACCTCTTTACAGATAAGCTACTTAGTCTTGGAAGCAGACCTTTGGGAACGGTCATTAGGAGCGAGGCCGAGAATGGGTGATTCTTCAGGCCTGGTTGCCTTTTTCCCTCCATTGCCTGAGCAGCGCGGTAGCCTACCTGGAAAGCGGTGCTCTGCTTCTCATTCATTCACCCATTTGTTAGCCAATGGGATCTTTATTTTCCGACATGTATTGTCTCTCAAATACTCAAGGTGAGAAGCAGAGATCATCAATCTCGTACTTTACACACAAGTGTGAAAGGGGGGGGGGGGGGCACTGAAAGAAAATACACCGATAGTTGACGAGTACTTTTTTGGTCAATGTAAACTACACACTGAGCGGTTGTGATTTTTGACCTGTAGGTGGCGACAAATATCCAAAAAAGGGAAATTGACTTAATTCCAAATTAAGTCCGAGTTTTACCGCTGACCATGTGGGAGGTAAAAGACTGGAAAAATACACGCTGAGCTCTGATCTCAGTTTACACTTATTCACCATCACAAGTTTGTTTTCAGAAAGGAAAACGGGAGTTTCCAAGCACATCCGTCCGTCCGTCCATCCATCCATCCAATGCTTATTCAAGTCAGGGTCACAAGGAAGCACATACATTTTTAATAATTTAAATAGATGTAACAATCTATATTTTCAGTTTTGTATAATGTTAAATATCTAAACAGCCAAGCTAATGACTATGAGACCCAGAACTGGAGTAGGGAGTGTTCATGATTTACAAATCAAGTCAATATAGATCTAACACATTGATAATTTCCTAAAATATGGACAGCCTTGTACTGAAAAACTGGTTATGGAAAAACGAATGTGTGGAAATTTCTTCTCCCCCCCCCCTTTATTTAACATGATGTTATTAAATAACAACATAAAATGCTCTACAAGCTGAACAAAGAACATCACAAAGGAACCAATGCGTGGACATTTCTTAAAATGTGTTTGTGTGTGTGGGCAGGTGGATGGCATCCAAATGGTGCTTCTCCTACTGCTAAATATCTGATATCCTGCCATGGTTTAGTTATTTCCATGTGTAGGCATTTCAGGATTAGCCAAATGGCCATTAAAGCTCACTCAATTGCAGTTAAGTTAAAATCTACATTTTATGCTTTCTTTGTGACATAAGCCTTGAGTGCATATACACAACATGAATATAAAAATAAAAAATGCAAATATGCAAAAGTACAGAGAGTACAAGTGCATATACATAAGGCTTAATGAAATAAGGGTAGAAAAAGCAACTACACAAAATGACACAATTTTAAATATACGTTTTGTATACACTGCATTTCCATTATGAGTATCCGATTTGATGACACTGGTATACAGTAATTTTGGTGCCAATGATGTCTGAATGGTTTTATATTAAGTTTATGGTTCTGATTAAGAACATGACTTCAGTTTTGCAAGATTGGCTCTAGCTTGTGAGATATTTAATAGTTAATTAATTAACGCAACATGTTTGAAAAGCATTGAGAAATTGCAAGAATGTTTTTATTTTATTACAACTAGTAAGTAAACAGTCTAACATCATACAGAAAAGAAATGAAAAATATCTAAGTGACAGGAAAAAGTTATGTATGATTTGATTAATTAATACAATATTAATTGTTAATGTCAGTGCTTCAAAAAAAAGTACAGTGGCTGGTTGAAAAAGACGACTAAAGTCTACGAAGCGGGATGCGACCTTTGTAAAAAAGTCATCAAACTGGCAACAATGAGCTCTAAAGCCATCGACTCACATATCAGGGGAGAGAAGTACAAGCGTTTTGTTGACAGCCGGACAACAACTGTCCCCACTCAGTTGTTTGCCAGTCCTGCAAGTACAACCTTTGGCAGTGTCTCCGGATCCCAGTGTCTTCAGTACATTCTCCTCAACCGACACACTGAAAGCAGAAGTGCTATGGGCTTTGCAAACGGTTAGCCGACATCACTCCTGTACGTCCAGTGATGACATTCACACTGTGTTGAGCAATTTGCTGGGACACAGCTAGTAACTGTAGGAAGTTGTGGCCTACATACCCTTCACAACTCATTCAAGACTGGTTTTGAAGTGTGGATGGTGGAGAAAGTGCTCAAAGCCAGAAGAGAGGACTTCACAGCTACAACATCATCCTCAAGACTCCCTCTACCTTTCTGTGGCCATCGGTGGCTCGAAAATTTGCCAGGGACATCTTCCTTTGACTGCATTTGTGAAGCCCGAATGGATCCCCTTCTTCAGACCAAACTACTTTTTTTCATGGCCCTATCACGAGCATTTCAACCATTTCTGGCTAAATACCAGGCAGGTGTTCCCATGATGCCCTTCCTTTGGAAGGACTTGGCAGGTTTGATCTGGGTAAATATTCACCACCACAGTAACAACAGCAATAAATGAACATGCAAACACGCACATGTGAACTTAACTCTGATTTTATTTTCAGACTCTCCTTCAACGCTTCATCATTCATTTCATTACCTAAGACATTGTTAAAGAGTCAAAAGACAGACCAAGAGCTATTACATTTGTTATCACACACAAGTTGCATTGGGGGAATGCATTATTTTCATGGATGTCCATTATCTGAAAAACTAGAACAAATTCAGCAAAAGTAATGGGATTTTTGAATTCAGCACCCTCAAAATACCCTAGATCAATTCAAAAAACCTTGGCACCCGAAAAATATTTTTGTAGACCTGTGTTATTCAATTCAATTCAGTTTAATTTGTATAGCACATTTTCACAACATTACATTGTCTAAAAGCGCTTTACATTATCCCTGCCCAAAAGCTTCAAACCTCTAAGGTTCAGGGTTCACTGTGGACAGAGTATGCATGTTCTCTCTTTCACACAACATAGACTCACAGTTCTCCTAATTACCTGCTACCCATTTTTTTGGCCACTGACAGGTCATTCCCATGAAAAGGGGACTTAAAGGGGACTGTATTATGAAGCTGAAAGTGAAAACTTCCCATTCAATATAGCCTTAGGATTTCTACCTGAAGGCCCTGTGGTGGACTGGCGGCCTGCCCAGGGTGGACCCCGCCTCTCGCCCGATGATGCTGGGATTGGCTCCAGCTTCCCCACGACCCAGATGGATAAAGCGGTATAGATAATGGATGGATGGATGTATTTCTACCTGAAAATGCATTAGACTTTGTGGTTAATTATTACACTCATTTCCAACCACACAACTGCCCATTAATTGACCATCATGAACATTTTACAGGCCAGGGCAGTCATGATCTTCAATGAACAGTCATGAACATTCGAAGGGTACTGATGATCTTCTATGGAAAGCGATTAGCCATTGTAGGGCAGTAATGAGTTTTCATTGGAAAGCAAGGGGTTTTCAAAGAGGAGTTAAGCCAAGATACAAATACAGGCTTTCAAAGAAATATGGAAGAGGATGTCTTCTTCATTTCATCACCTTGCTATTTCCTCATGGTTCTGCATTTTAAAAGCTGTTGCAGAAAGAGTGAGGAGTAACAGAGGGAGAGGGAGAGAGAGAGAGAGACCTGTGATCTCCACTGAATGACAGAAAAGAGGACAGAAACAGAGAGAAAATAATTTTCACTGGACGCTTTGAAGTTGCATACCTGGTAAGAGAGCTTGTGTACTGTGTTCAGTATCATTGACAGAGTTAAAATGATTAGCGTTGAGAATTGGTAATGCTACCAACCACTGTACTACATAAGCGTGGTTGATTGATCAATGAACAGAGAATAATTATGAACTATAGGTGCAACATATTAGTGTTCGTTACTTTGGAAAATAAGTCTTTGTTTTGTATACAATAATAATGTAACATTAACCACTGGCCAAGACAAACAGCTGCAAGGTAGGGTGGCTGATAAGCAGTTTGAAAAGATTATTGTAATAGTAGATAACAGAAGAGTCACTGTGTTAATATGTTGTAGGTACTACCTTAGTTCCTCAGTGGTCTGTGGTGTGCATGACATTTAGGAAAAGAAGCTCACTTCAGAG